GCTCAGCAGCAAAGCTGATGGCAGCAGCACCCCGTAACGCCGTGGGATGTGCTTAGCCAGGGGTAACCGTGCCGTTTTCCTCCGGCGAGCATCAACAGGCCCCTCCCTGAGGGGAGAAAGTGCCAAGAGCTTGGGCAGCATTTGCCCCGCGATAATAAAATGCAGCTGGGCCCAGCTGGAGGCTCGCCCAGGCACGTTTCTGGTTAATTTTTGCATCCGTGCTTTATCGGTTCACTTCACCCTGTAATCGCGGTCAGTAAGCCCCGCAGCCTCCTGCAGTGGCAGGCTGCCATGTGGCGTTTTATTTAAGCCCTTTTGCTTGTTAATAATTTTCGGGAGGGTGCTGATGTTTCGCACAAAGGCCGAGGCCGCTCGGTTTGGGCGCGAGCGTTATTTGTCCTGCCGTACCTTCCCTCCTTCTCTGCCTCTCGGGCAGGGCAGCAGCGTGAGGAGCCAGAGCGTGAGTGGCAGAGCCCAGCTGTGGATGGGAATGAAAAACATCCTGTTTGTATAAACAGTGAGTCAGTTTTACTGGCAAAAAACACTGTCAGCCAGCGGCTTTCCCAGCAGAAGAGGTCAAAACTGCCCAGGGATAGGAAGGGGCAGACTCTGAAGTCAGAGAAGGGGAAAGTATGTGGCCAAACTGCCTTTGAAGTCGATCTGAGGATGCCGCTTACGTTCTGCTCCCTCATCCGTGTGATTAGCAGGGGCATACGTAGTAGCCGGGTACTTAAATGGTTTTGGACTCCTCTACCAGCTGGAACGGTCTGAATGCAGAGCTCTGAAGTTAGTAGTAGGGGGAGAGGCATGCCATGAGATGGCAGGGGTGGTAGACAATGATGGCTAAGGGCCCGTGCGTAAAAAGGTCAAAAGGAACAAAGAGTGCCCAGAATATGGGACGGCAGAGAGAGACTTAAATATCACGGGGGGGAGGGATTATCTGCAGTCCCATGGAGGATTCAGCCAGCATCCTTCAACTGCAATCCATAAATGAGGTGGAATAGGAGAAAAGTCTTCCAGAGCTGATGTGTTAAGCTACAGAATTGTTGTCCTATGAGAATAGATAAAAACATCATTGTTTAGGTTATTACAGGTCTGGTAAGCCCTTGGAAAGCGTGCAGCTTTCATTCTGTGCTGCCTAGTGAGGCACATCTCTCTTCTAAATCCTCTGCCCTGATTGTGGCTTGGTGGGGAGCACAGCCCTTCCCTGCACTGCACGGCAAGGTGCTCTCCAGCTTTGACCAGTTTGGTCCATTTGAGATTAGTTATTGGCAAATACTTGCTGAAGAAGAGCAAGGTAAAATAGCGGAGTGGTTCTTCCTTTCTGGAGAGGAGTTTTTGTTAAAAGAGAGGGGGCGAATGCGTTTTCCTGATAGTTGTTTCTGGAGAGACTTAAAAAAATTGCCCCTCTGAGCTGGAGGCAAGTCCCGAGGCTGTTGTTTGGAGGAGAGGAGGAATGCAAGCAGCCAGTACTCGCACAAGCACCGCCCTGGGACCTTTGCTGTTGAATCTATATGGAGCAAGGAGATAAACTCTTTGATGGTGGGCTTGCGCATCTGTGTGCAAGTAGTATTGTGTGAGCTGGCTCAAGCCAATGTGTTGTTGAGGGACATGAAAGGTTTTACGATAGAGTCAAGTGAGCAACTAAACTACTGAAGTGCTAGGCTCTGATGAAACAGGGAGAGGTTTGTGATAGAAGAATGGGCATCTAGAAGCAGGTGCAGAACGTGTTTTGGTGCTACCCGTGGGTAATGCTGGAACTTGTGATGAAAAATAGGACATAAGTTTTCAGTGAACAGGCTGATTCTCAACCGGTCTTCTGCTACAGCAATCCGTATTTGTGTTATGTAGAGCCTCCACCTTGAGGATTCGGAGGGACTTGCGCTCCTACAAGGGAGCATTAGCCTTGTTTTACAACCGAAGGAGGAGCTGAGGAGCAGGGGAGGAGAGTGCTGGGAGATGGCAGGTAGTCAGCTGTCTGGTGGTGGGCAAAGGCGCCATTTGAGATCCTACATGCTGTGGCGGGGGTGGGTGTCTGCTGAGTACAATGCTTGACGCAGTGGCCAGTGGCAGTCGGATGTTTCTGTTCTGCTGTACACTCAGCTGTCTCTGTTTGCTCATCAAGAGCACTAACTTGCTGCCTTTTTCCTGCATAACAATTTCTCGTTTGATTTCTAGGTTGTTTTCCTCCACCTCCCTGAGACCCTTCTTTCTCCTCAGCATGTCCCTTCTTGTCATCCTCTTGATGGAGAGGTGGAAGCCCAGGTTCCTGTTTGATTTCTCAGGTATGTGATGACTAGCACTGTAGCTAATGACACACTCCTAGTGTTACCAGCTGCTGGGCTGTGGCCACCAGCCTGTCCTTTCCTGGCTCTCTCCTAGGTCATGCAAGCCCTGTTCCTACTGTAACTGCAGGCTTTGGTACTGGTGCTGCCTCCTGCCTGTGTCAGAGTATTGGTTGTATCCTAGTACTCTGGGCATGGGGAGAATTTCTCCCGGTGCTGAGAAGTTCTGGGAGTAGCTTGTTCTGAGAGTGCCTAAGGGGGCCCCGCTAGCTTGTCAGGAAAGCTGGTGATGAGGATGATGCAGTGTTTCTGCTGTGTCCTTTCTCTCCTGCAAATGTTGTGGCGAAAAGATCGTTCCATGTCTGAGCATATATGGCCAGCTGAGCTGGGGGAAGGAAACGGGGGGCTTTGAAGTGTGTAGTGAAGAGCAGCGTGGGCTTATGCCCCGAAGGAGGCAGAGCAGATGAGAGCCACTTCTCCTTGCGGCAGGTAGCAGAGTGGATGATGAGGTCTGACAGCAGGGACAGTTAGTGTATTGTACCTGTACTGAACAGCGTCTGGTCTCCAGTTAATTGGCGAGTTTGATCTCTTGGCTTATCTTTCCCATTTGTTGAAGGGTCTTTGCCAATATTAGACACAAAAGCAACAAGAGGAATAGCCTCATAACGATGATGGGCGTGGATTGGCTGCTGTCTGCTTTGAGTGCCTCCTTCACTGGAGTTTATTAAGTGACTGGACCCAGACCTGCCTACTGCAGCTACTGCTACTGTTCAAAGGCAGCTCGGGGCCCTCCATCCCTGCCCCCCTACTCTAGGGAGGGTTTCTGAATGAAAGCCCCTCTATATGTGTGTTTGTAAGGTGCCCTTTATTTGACCTAAACGGGTACTGACTTAAAGGGTGCTTTCACAGAAGTCCCGATAAGATTAGATATGTTTCAGCTGTAGGTTTGAAACTGTTTGCTTTGTGTGGTTCAGGTAACTAGGCAGCCAAACTGGACTGGCCAATTTAATTTCCTGCTTATTTGCATTGTTTTTTTAAGGGAATAGTTTAAAGCCAACCCAAAACATCTCACTTGAAACATGTCCAGAAATGCAAAAACCTGGTGTCTGATACAGAATGGTGTTATTGACACAGGTGGGAGTAGAATTGCTCCAGCAAGTACCAGGCCTGTAAAAGTTGTGTTACCACAGAAGAAATAGGAAAATCGTACTGAAATCAGTTTATATGAAAAAAAAAAAAAAGAAAACAAAAAACCCCAAAACAACGCACCAAGGGTTAGGCTAATCCTGTGTCATCAGCTCTGCAAGAAGTCAGTGCATATCCTACTGAGCCACTCCTCAGTGGGGTTCTTCCCCATATTTCACTCCTTGCTGCTTTTCTGCTGCTGACAGCAAAGAACAGTTTGAAACTGTTTGCTTTGTGTGGTTCAGGTAACTAGGCAGCCAAACTGGACTGGCCAATTTAATTTCCTGCTTATTTGCATTGTTTTTTTAAGGGAATAGTTTAAAGCCAACCCAAAACATCTCACTTGAAACATGTCCAGAAATGCAAAAGCCTGGTGTCTGATACAGAATGGTGTTATTGACACAGGTGGGAGTAGAATTGCTCCAGCAAGTACCAGGCCTGTAAAAGTTGTGTTACCACAGAAGAAATAGGAAAATCGTACTGAAATCAGTTTATATGATGCAGAGCAGAGAGGAATTAAAAAAAAAAAAAAAGAAAACAAAAAACCCCAAAACAACGCACCAAGGGTTAGGCTAATCCTGTGTCATCAGCTCTGCAAGAAGTCAGTGCATATCCTACTGAGCCACTCCTCAGTGGGGTTCTTCCCCATATTTCACTCCTTGCTGCTTTTCTGCTGCTGACAGCAAAGAACAGGGGCATCTTTCTGATGTGCCTGGTTAGGTCACAGCCCTGATTTCGACATGGTCCACTGGACCGTGTTTCCTCAGCGTCCGCAAGGAAGGAGTGGTTCTCTGCGTTCCTGTGGGGCCTCCTGTTGAATTGGCACTGCTGAATACTTAGGGGTTCTTGTGTGGCTCTCACTTCCCGCTGAAGCAGAGCTGCAGCTTTGTGGCTTTCCTCCTCAGTGCTTCCTGTAAGCCTTTCCTGGAGATTTTGGAAGTAGGTCAGTACCACACCTTCAAGAGTCAGCACGTATATACACAAACCTCAGCTTGTGGCAGTTGTGTGTGTCTCGGCTGACTGCTTATAACATCGCGTCTGAAGGAATGCTAAAACCTCAGCGTGTATTTTGCAGTTACTCACACACTGTGATCAGGGACGCACTAACAGCAGCGGGATGCACAACCTTTTTAGGTCCTGTCAAAAGGCACTGCATATTTTCAGGTCCCATGCAGGATATTTTCTCCATATGTAACCACGTCTGTGTGGGGTTCCACTTAAATATTGTTTAGGGACTTAGGAAGCACCTCCACTTTCACCTGAAATGGGTATCAAGTAGGGATGTTTTTTGTGCCGTTGTTTGGCAAATGTGTTTTGGTCAACGTAGGAGAATGTAGCATGGAAGAGCTTTAGCAAAGCCTGCATTGCAATTGAATGCTGGTGCTCCTTAAAAAGGGCCCCTGCTTTCTAGCTGAAGTTTACACACAGATGAAGAATGCCTTCTGGGGAAGCGTTGAAAACCTGTAAGAGCCAAGGAATCCATCAGCGATAACTTGTCAGTACCAACATGTAACCTAAAATCTTGCGCAGCTGACTGGTCTCCCAGAAGAGTCTGGTGTATGTCAAGTGGTTTGTATTAATCCACAGTCCACTGTGAAATGCTGACAGCAAGATTTCAGCCGGTTATTGGTGATCTGAGGCCAGCTGTGGGTGTCCTGCTTGCTGGCTTAGTTGTACCAGTGCAAGACAGTGTTGCAGCATGGGTTGGAGTTAAGCCTTACCTAAGTGAATGTTGTCGTGTCAGAAATGTTCTAGTTTTTTTGTGGTTGGGCTGTTCCTCCAACTGGTGTAAAACTCCAGTGCTTTGGGATGGACAGCAGGCAGACTATCTACTACAGGAAGCAAGATACTGTCGATTTTAAAGACAGCTTGTGTTTTGCCAGATAGTTGAAATCACATGAACACTCTGCAGCCTGCTGAAATGTTCTGCAGATCCCCAAAGTGTCTCTGAAACCTTCAGAAGCAACTGAGGAGAGCTGTTTCGCTCCCTCTGCTGGTATATTTTGGATGGCTTGGATTACTGCAGCCAGTCGGAGAAGAGTAGGGTTCCTGTGCCATCCCATTTACTCTGTTGCTGGCACATCTGTCTGGCAGAGTACTGCGAGCATCTCAGCACCTCGTTTGGTAGCTGGTACAACCAGTATAGTCAGACGTCGCAAATGGGCCAGTGCCAAATATAATTTATTTGGTGATTTAGTGCAGGTAATAGATGAGGCTTTGAGATACAGCTGGATTCCTGCATGCTGCAATTAAGCAGCTTTAGATTCCTGAGCACAATAACAAAATACATCAACAGCGGTTGCGTGAGAGAAGCAACCGCCCCGTGGGGGTGGAGCTGCATCCATAATACTCACTTTGCAGCCCGAGCTCCCTCTGTGAGCAGTGCTTGCCAGCTACCCCAGCCACTCTGCCGAACAGTCATGGGCAGGGGAGTGGGTGGGCAGCCCACTCTGAGAGCAGTTGACTCCTCTTGTCAGGCCTGATTACTGGAAATCTGGGTCATGCTCTCAAAGAATCGCCTCCTCCCGCTCCACTGCACTGTGCCAGCCGGCTGGTGGAGTGCCTGCAGCGGTAGGAGGAGTCTGACATACTTGGCCCAAGGTCCTGTGTCTTGGGAGAACGGTGGCAAGGCTTCTACAAGCAGTTGCTCTTTTGCGGCTTGAACTGGAGTCTGAAGTCTCGCTGGCTGGTGGCAGTGATGGATGTTTACCTTTTCTGTGCATTTCCCTGGGGGAGTCGTTGCCACTCTTGGGCTTTGCATCTGGCTGATGACTTCAGGGAGGATTCAAACCCCTTTTTGCTCATGTTGCATTTTTAAGTCTGTTTCCAACAAGTAGCCTGGACTTTGAACGTAAGCTCCCTACCTTAGTCCTGTTTACACGGTGACGTGCAGTGTGGGGGATAGGATCCCACTGATTTTTATTTATTCCTCTTGGACCAAGTTTGCTGTTGGCCAGACAGCATTAGAGATGTATCTTGTCCCTACCAGCTTTAGGACATTAGGCTGAGAGGTAGAGGACCGTATACCTCAAGAGGCCTTTACAGCATGATCAGGGCTTGTTAAACACGGGAGACTTATAAAAGACTATGTTGCTGCAAGAGCTTTGGTCAAGCCTTGTACATCCCCAGACCACTAGTCAGCTAGCCAGGACGCCCAAATCCACAGGCAGCCAGGCTCATCAGTTCCAGTTGTCATAGAAATAGTTGGGTTTTTTTTTCCTCTGTGTATCTAAAGGCAGAGCATAATTATACGTAAACTCTGCCATTGAAACATTATTACTGCCTTCAGTACTGTGTGGAGTAAGTCCCCGTTTGATCGTCACTGGGTTGTGTGCAAAGAGGAATGGGAGCAGCTTTCCCTTGCTCTTATCCAGACTGCCAGACCTTAGGAGTGTAGTTATATCTGTGCCTGGCACAAAGGGCTGTCAGGGGACATAAAAGAGCCCTAAAATTAGATAATTATACACAAGATTGCTATTTGTTACTTAATTCCCTGGGAAAGGATAGAGACAACAGGGAGATCTCTGGCATTTGTACACAGCATCCTGCCAGGGACTGTGGTCTGGGCTGGTCAGTGGGAAATGCAGCTCAGACCTTCCAGTGCCATGCTGAGCTCTGAGGTGGGAGCTGAAGCTTTTCCTAGCACAGGGACTGTGCTGGCAGCCCTCTGTGAGTGGCAAGGGCTAGGCAGCTGCCCTGGGGATGGCACTGCCCAGACGTGTGGGACGCCGGGGCAAGCTGTACAATCCCCGCAGCGGAGAGCTGATGTGCTAGTGGCAGGGTACACCTCAGATATGAGCGTGATGCCACATGTTTGTCACCACAGGTCGCAAGGTATGCTGAGGCACCCTGAGATCAGTGCTCTGGCTGCTCTGAGTCTCCGGGCATGTTTCACTGAAGCCTGCACAGCTCAAACTCCAAGCCAGTGATTCCTGCTTGCATGAGAGCATGAAGAAGGTCCCCAGGGTGCATCCCTAGCTAAGGATGATGCATCTCCAGCTCTGCTCTGTTCAAGTGGTAAAAACGTCAGGTTGTGTTTTTCACTTGGCTGACTAATCTGCTGTGTTCTCTCTACAGCACAGCCATCAGAGGAGCCGGGAGGGGAGAGGTAAGCTCGCTGATGTGTTCCTTGGTGAGAGGGGAGAGTGGGCAAGCCTTAATTTAGTGTGGTGATCTCACCTGCCCTTTTTGCTGTTGTCGATGGACTGCATGGCTCCTGCTGTGAAACATTGGTAGCAGTTTCTCCTGCACTGGGAGCTACCTATCAGCTCAGGAGCCACAGTTTGAGACTCTGGGGAAAGCTAATGTTCTTTCAGTAGCAATAAAGCTCAAGTGCTTCTGATGTTAGGAACTCTCGAGTTTCTTCCCTGGATCTATTCTGGACTATTTTAAGAATCCTTCAGAGAGAAAGAAATCCCCAAGACTGACTTTTGCAGGTCATATATGCTGTCTGTGGTGGTGTAGCTTGCGTCCTGTCCTTGGCCATTGTTATAGGTCTGAGCACCACACTCTGGCTACCTCAGACTTGGTGCCAGAGGAGGCCACATGACTAGTTGCACCTCCAGCGCTTCTGTCTGCGTGGCTTTGAGTAAACCACTTTGTATCTTGGGCCTGTGGCATGGGGGTGCTGTGGCATGGTGTCTGCTGCTTGGCTCAGGTGTCTCTTGGCTCTCTTCGTGACTAAAGGAAAAAAGCATCTCCAAATCAAGTGTCTTCCATAGTTCAGTTGAAGATGCAGTCAGTATTGTCAAGCCTTTGGTAGGGATCTCCGCTTCCCAGTGCAGCTGTTTCCTCCCCCCAACAACGACAACAAAACAGACCGTGTTCAAAGATTGTCTTCTTGCTCTTGTCTGTCTCTAGTGAGGGGGTGACTTCAGGGGCACAACCTCACCTGCTCAGTGTCCCTGAGCTGTGCCACTGTCTGGCAGAGAGCTGGGTCACCTTCAGGCTGTACCTGCAGGAACTGCTACAGTACAAGAGGCAAAATCCTGCCAAGGTAAGCTGGAGATACCTACTCTTCTGTGCAGGGGCTTTACTTTCCATTACTTAGTGGCCTAGGAGATGGAATAATGTCATATCAGTATTTTTACATTTGCTATCCCTGCTTAACATTTGCTGTTCATTGCTTTCAGACTTTGTGCCATGGGAAGCTTAAATAATGAGTAATTTGCTTCTAGTAACTGTAAACTGGAGCTGAACTTAACCCCTCCTGTGAACGGCTAGCTATGCTTAGTTTTATTTCTTAGTGTGCAAAGGAAGCTCTTAGATTGGGAGTGGGGAGAAGAAGGGGGAGTGTACAGTCTCTGCCCCTTTCACAGGCTCCATTCAACCCTTTAAGCTGGTCCTACCTATTTTTCTAGCTAAGACTGTAGCAAGCCGAGTCCAAATGCAGCGGTGTTTCTGAGTGCGTGGAAGCTTGTAAACCGTGTTCTGGTGGCTGTGGCACGTGTTGTTTGGAAAGGCTTTGTAGACAGGTGTTGCCTTAGCATCACAAACAGTAGGAGAGACCAGCTAGTAGGATTGTATCAGGCTTGCTGGGGTCCAGTGTGCCAAAAAGAGTGGGTTTCTATCACTGCTGATTATTCCTTTTCTGTTAAAACACTGTCCAAACTACAGGGAGTAGGAGACCAGGACCAAGATACCCATAAAGCATGAATTCATTGGGAGCAAAGCCCTTAGAGGGCCCTAGCTTTTGTAGACACCTTCCATTATGAATTAAACTCTTCATTGCTGGATTTAGTTGGTATTTGAACCCATGCCCTGGCTTGCAGGGTGTCTGTTCTCACTTCTCCCCCTCCCCAGGAGAATGCAGGATAAGCCCTCAGGGCTGTGCCTTTGTACTTCCACTTTTTCCAGAGGAGGAAGGTCCTGGTCTGGCGGGAGTGTGGGTTCTGCTAATGCTTCTGCCAGCTGGTTTATTGCATAGCAGTGGCACAGCATCTGGTGACTCTGTAACGGCTTCCTGTCTGTCGGGACAGTACACGCTTCTCTTGAAGTGCTGAGCTCTGCAGGGAAGATGTACTCTAAAATGGCAATTTGCAATACCCCATCCTAGCCTCAGGGAACATCATTTACTTCATAAAGAACTGTCCAGTAAAGTTTTGATTCATTTTATTGGGGTCTTGGGTTACCTTGGCCTTCCTGCGCTTGAATCTCTAATGCTTACAGCTTAACCCAACCAAGCTGTCTGAGTTGTGATTGTCAGCATCTGAATGTACTCAGTGCGAAGCTGGTGTACTGACTTTGGTAGGAGCATCCCTCATTTTGCTCTAACTGGGTTTCCTGCACTGGTTGCATAGCTGTATCTCTGCCTCTTGTCACTTCTGTTTGTTCCTCTCTCTTCCTTCAGTTCTGCATGAGTGTCTGTTCAGGCTGCCTGATTCTGGCTGTAGTTGGACACTATGTTCCAGGCATAATGATCTCCTACATCATTTGTGAGTATAAGCGGCTCTCTTGTCTGACTTAAGCCGAAACATGACCTAACTGTGCTTATTGATACGCTGGTAGAAGTGTATTTGTGGTTTTCTTGAGGGGATCTGTGCTAGATTATTAATCAATTCAGGCAACATGCTCCGGGAAGGCTCTCGCTTTACATGCGTGCATGCAGTACAAGTGCAAAGTCAGGAGAGGGAGCTGTCGCTAAACCATTGCTTTCCTCTTCTGCCCTCGGCTGGGGCTGTACTGTTGAGGTCTGGGAAAAGCAGAAACCTGCAATCTCTCAGTTCCTAGAGCGGGCAAATCCATATTAAGAGAGTTGTTAAAAGAAGCTGCATGTTTAGCAAATAAGACCTTCTTCACTGCATCGGGAGTCCCTGCTAACTCTGAAGACTGTTCAGGTGGTCTGCTGCTAGCGCATCTACTTATGAGCTCTGTGCTGCTACCCTCATGAAAGTTTTGATGATCTTTAATTTTAATAGCCTAATTTCAGGGCCTCTATTGCATGTTGGGGCTGGGATGCAGTGGCTGAAGAGGAGGGCTTACGCTTCATCTCAACATAAATCTGTATCCTAACAGATCTGTTAGGAAAATCAAGCAGCTTTGGGAAGAGTAAGAATAGCCATGGATGAGGGTTTTAGGCAAAGTCAGATGGGAAAGCAAATGCCATTCAGCTGCGCTTCCCTTGATGCAGAGTTTCTTGCCAGCGGTGCATAAAGGGCTGGGTCTGTCTCACGCTCTCCACGTCCTGTGTTGGCAGTGCTCAGCATTCTGCTCTGGCCTCTGGTGGTCTATCACGAGCTGATCCAGAGGATGTACACGCGTTTGGAGCCTGTCCTGATGAAACTGGACTACAGTATGAAGGCAGAGACGCTGCACCACAAGCATGAGAAGAAGAGTAAGGACCCAACTTCACTCTGAGTTTTTCTGGGGTGCCGTACTCCCAGGGTGGAGCCCTAGCAAAGGGACAGCGGGGGAGTAGGTCTGCCGACACTGTGTGGTGAAAGGCTGCGGTGGAGCAGGGGAAAACAGGCTGAGACGTGGGGGTTATGGGGAGAGCAACTTGGGCACGTGATCCTGGGAATAGCGAATGAGAGCAACAGGTTACAGTTGTCTCTGGGGATCTTGGGCTTCTGGGAAACCTGTGCAGTTTCCCAGGGTAGTACAGGTAGTGGGAAAGAGGTGTATAAAGGCATAAAATTCCTTCGGTCTCACGTAAAGCCTTTCTTCTCTTTCTCATAGAGCGACAAGGGAAGAGTGAGCCTGCAGCAGGTGATGAGCCAACAGCAGAGACTGAGAGCGAGAGTGAGGCAGAGCTGTCGGGCTTCTCCCCAGTGGTAAGAGCACAAAGAGCTGTGCAGGAGCCAGTCCCTCCTCTCTGGTCTGTAGCAACTTGAGAGAGAGCCAAGGGGCAGTCTTGAGTACAGCTGCATTGATAGCAAACAGCAGAGCAACAAGTCACTTTGTCTCTAGTCTGGGTACTGTGAGAAATCAATGCCACAGGGCTGGTGGTGCAGCAGCAGGACAGGGCGAGCCTTGCTCCAGCCTCCTGCTGACCTGTGGAATTGCTTTGGAGGAGCAGCGCTGGTGTCTCTTACGCAGTTCCCTGCTCTCAGTCAGACTGGGTGGGACCTTTCTGGAGGTGCACCACAGAAGCAGACCAAGTGTCCTTATGTAGCTGGGCTGTGAGATGGGAAGCCTCAGCTTCCAAAAGAACACAGATACTAGAATCGGTGCTACTTGTAGAAGGCTTCATTGGGCCCTGTGTGACTGCAAAAGGGAAGGGGTGTTTTGCTCCTTGGTGATCCCAGGAGAGGAAGAAGGATCAAAGCCTTCTGAGACCCCTGCAGGCTGATCCCATCTTGTGCTGGCTCTTTTGGGTTCTTCACTGAGGGTAGGCAAAGCTTCAGGCAGTGAATTATTGCAGGAAAGCCAGTGAGCCGAGGCTGTCCTTCCCTGGCAGTGCAATGAGCACCTTGCCCAGCACTCTCCTGCTTTCATACTGTCCCTGTTCAGGGTCTCTCCAGCAAAGGACTTCTGCCTGCAAGCTCTGGTTTGTGCGGAGGTGCCCGTAGGCAGCGCTGGTAGTCAGACACCCAGGAATTTGTCCCTCTGCCTTCATCCCATGCAGGTGGATGTGAAAAAGACTGCCCTGGCACTGTCAATCACAGATTCTGAGCTCTCTGATGAGGAAGCTTCCATCCTGGAGAGTGGGGGCTTTTCTGTCTCAAGGGCTACTACCCCACAGCTGACAGACGTTTCTGAAGGTACGTGATGGGACACTTTGCTGCCTTCCTCTCCCTGAGTGTTTTGTCCCCAAAAATCTGTCCTTCCAAACGCAGGGAGAGAACCTAGCTATTTTCAGGGGGAAGAACATTAAAAGGAAGAAGCGGTAATAGCGGCGCAGCATGCCCCAGCTTCATGGCTGATCATGAGCTGGTCCTGAGTGGACATCTGCCTCTGATTACTGCCCCACAAGCCAACGTTCTCTTGTCACTCCAGCAAGGGAGCGAGGCCATCCACAAAGTCCTGCAGAAATAATTGCATGGTATAGTCACACGCCCATATGTGATGCTGGGTGAAACAGGTTGGACGCCTCACCCCGTCAGACTTACAAGCTGAGAGAAGGACTGGTTAGCGGTGAGGAATGCGAAGGTAACCACTCGGATGTGGTCACTTGGGTGTCCGGGGAGGAACAGGCAGGTGACGTGCTGTAAGCACAATTTCCCTGGCCCTGGGGGTTTTAGCGGAGGGCTCTAGATGCAGAGAGCGTGAGCTGGAGAAGGGAGTCATCCCCGAGCATGGAGCATGTAGAACAGGGTGAGAAAAGGGATGCTCCACATGAGTCATGCTGCTGGGAGAAGGGAATAACTGCAGAGACCCCCTTCCTGCTGTGCTCCCAGAGCTGGGAGGACACCCAAAAGCGCGCCCTGATGTGTCAGCTGGGGGGAGGTGGGTGGGAGGTGTCCGTGCCCTGGGGGGAGGTGAGGGGGCCTGCACCTTAATGCTGGTCCCTTTCAGACCTGGATCAGCAGAGCCTGCACAGCGAGCCAGAGGAGTCATTTTCCAAGGACCTGGCAGAGTTTCCCTCCGTGGAAGAATATCATTCCAGAGACCTGGGACCACAGAGCGATGAAGATGCGTTTGGTGTGCCTCTGGGTCCTGAGCTTGCCCACGCTGCCCGTGAGCTGGACTCGGCAGAGGAGGCAGCCGCGGACTCTGACGTCTCCATCCTTCGCCTAGCGTCTCCTCTCCATTTTGTAAATACGCACTTCAATGGGAGCGGGCAAGCGGCAGCAGGCAACGCAGAGCCAAAGACTGTCCCTGCCCCGGGCCTGGGCATCTGCATCGACACGCTGAGCGAGGAGATCGTCACCACTGCCATTACCACGGCGGTGCAGAACACCCTCTCTGCCCTGCTGCAGTCCTCGGAGGCCAGCGAGGGGCCCTCCCTCTCCGAGTTCCTGCCCACCGAGCCCGAAGAGAAACTGAGCTTCCAAGCACAGCTGTCAGAGACCGAAGTGGTGGAGACGGAGACAGCGGCTTCACCGGAGGATGAGGAGGAAGCAGATGACTTTGAGCTGCTGGATCAGGGGGAGCTGGAGCAAATGGATGTAGAGCTGGGGCTTGGGGAGGAGCAGGAGAGGAAGAGGCAGTGATGACAGCAGCATCAATGTCTTAGGTCTTCTTCGTGCCCCCCCCCCCCCCCCCCTTTTCCTCCATCGTCACTGGAAAGAAGGAAGAACTCACAGGGTGAACGTGCAGTGGGTTTTTAGATGTTTGTGTTGACTGGGATGGAAACGCGTCAGTGTTAATGTGCTGTGTCCGGAATAACGAATCCTTTCCATCCTTCTAGAGCCCGGCCTCCGCTGGCTGAGCAGGAGACGCCCCTGCCCTGCGGCTGGGGAGGAGCCGGCTCCTAGAAGCCTTACGCCACAATCGAAACACCAACCCCAGCAAATGCTTCCTAGTAATGGTGCGGTATTTTGGTCTGTCTTCTGTTTGTCTTTTCGTTTGCACGCGGAGTACCGAGCTAGCTGTAGCTGCTGCTAATACCCACATCCCCACTAGGACATATGCAATCTTATTTTATTGGGTTTTTAAATGGCTACAAGTGTAAATAATTTTAACTTTCATCAGTTTCGTTTGGGGGGGGAGGGATGGGGCGCGGGGTCAAACCTGGCTCTCGGGGG